GGGGGGGGGTTGGATCGCTGGGGCACTTTAGATCATTTTTGAGGGCACTTTCTATCTAAGACTAAAAAGGGCTTGTGCACTCCACAGGTTGAGCCCTATGTGTGCACATGCCTGCTCAACAGCATATAAGAGCCCATATGATGTATTTGGGATCCTTAAGACACTCAAGTTGGCTTTTTCTACTTTAAATTGTTAATATGTTGTGTTTTGAAACTACATAATATCAGTGCATATACAATAGACTTTTATTAATTTTTTGAGAAACATTTAAATGTTGTATTTTAAAGCACAACAAAAGCAGTACATTGCTAAAGTACATTGCTTTTTTTTTACATTCAGACACATTCATATGTTATGTTTTGGACTGCGTAACAATTAGGAATGCAACAAATATAGATTTCGGTTGTACGATTTTATAGTCTGAAGAATAATCATGGTTTAACGATTATCGCGTCTGATGTAAAATCAAGCTATGAAGGGACGTTTTTTTTTTTTTTTATTATTTAATTTTATTTTTGATGTCTCGGTCACACTATTTAGAGGGCCGGAACAAATGGCCGCCAATTGAATAGCCCTGAATTAGACCATTCAATTAGATCCACTTGTTTGATAAACAAAGCAAATCTCTCATATAATACAGTACATCCACAAAAAATTCATTGATTTGTTTATTTTCCTTCAGCTTACTCCCTTGTTTATCAGGGGTCGCCACAGCGGAATGAACCGCCAACTATTCCAGCATATGTTTTAAACAGCGGATGCCCTTCCAGCTGCAGCCAAGTATTGGGAAACACCCATACACTCTCACTTACACACATACACTACAGCCAATTTAGTTTCTTCAATTCACCTACAGCGCATGTGTTAGGATTGTGAGGGGAATCCAGAGCACCCGGAGGAAACCCACAACCAACACGGAGAGAACATGCAAACTCCACACAGAAATGCCTACTGGCCCAGCCGGGACTCAAACCAGTGACCTTCATGCTGTGAAGCAACAGTGCCAGCCACTGAGCCACCGTTATTTTACTTTATATTATTTATTATTATTATTATTCAATTAATTTTTGCGAAAATTACGAATGAAATTCGAATTAAAATCCTTTCGTTGTTTTTGTTGCTGTAAGTCCCCTGTCCTGTGGTTTTTCTCTTAGTGATGCTGTACGCCATATGAACACACAACCTACTGTACACACTTCCCAGCCTTGTTCATGATTTGGGCCTGTGTTTATCCTGTTTTAAACTGTCAAAACAACTCTTAAATGCTTTTTCAGATGTAAAAAATTAAAAAATAGAACCTGATTTGATTTTTTTAAATGATGGACGAAAGTTTCGGAGGAAATTTGTCAATATGGTTGACAAAGTGAGGTTGAATTTACTTTTTAACATGTGAAAATTACGGAACAAATTTTTGGATTCTGGGACTTTCGATTGTGGTTGAAAATTTGGGAGCTCTGCAAACTAATTCTTAAATTTACTAAATACATACTTACAACGTTTTCCAAGTTTTTTGTCGCAGCGACTAAATAGTTCTGTGGACTATCTCTGATGTGAAAAATTTCGGATTCAGTGTGCAAAAACCTTTACGTTAGTAAATACACAGATTCCATGATGGGACAAAAAATAAATGCAGATTTCTGCACACACCTATTGCCTGTCTGTCTACCCTTATGTCATATATCATCAAAGTACACAGACCTATTTTAAACATTAACACACCAGTCAATCTCAAAATATTTTCGTATGGTATAACCTTCGTTAATATCGCAGTAAATAATACAGAGAAGAATTCGCTCGTGTTTTTTGAGAGTCCCCGTCTCTCATCCTGAGGTTATCCTGTGTAAAACAAAAAATGTTTTACACGATTTGAATTATTTTATGACAGACGAAAGTTTCGGAGGAAATTTGTCAATATGGTTGACAACTTGAGGTCAAATTTAGTTTTTAACATGTGAAAATTCCGGAAGAAAATTTTAGATTGTGGGACTTTTGATTTAGCATTTGAGGACGCAAAGTCGGGAGCTCTGCAAGATAATTCCTAAATTTACTAAATACATACTTACAACATATTCCAAGTTTATTGTCACAGCGACTAAATTGTTCGGTGGATGATATCTGATGTGAAAAATTTCGTATTCAGTGTGCAATAACCTTTACGTTAGTAAATACACAGATTCCATGATGGGACAAAAAATAAATGGCAGATTTCTGCACACACCTATTGCCTGTCTGTCTACCCTTATGTCATATATCATCATATAACACAGACCTATTTTAAATATTAACACACCAGTCAAATTCACAATATTTTCGTATGCTATAACCTTAATATCGCAGTAAATCATACAGAGACGGATTCGCTCGTGTTTTTTGAGAGTCCCCGTCTCTCATCCTGTGGTTTTTCTCTCAGTGATGCTGTACGCCATATGAACACACAACCTACTGTACACACTTCCCAGCCTTGTTCATGATTTGGGCCTATGTTTATCCTCTGTGTGTGTGTGTCGTCAGCTAGCAGGAATGTGTGCGCACCGCCAATGCTAAGATGGCTGCCAAAGACTAAAATGGCTGCCAGGAGTCCAGAAAAAGAGAAAGAGAGCCGGAGAGAGAGAGAGAGATGGAGACAACGTGCTAAATAGAGAGAAAAGAGAGCGCTTTCGACTGCTGTTCTTTTGTTTGTGCGAGTGTATTCGTCCTAATCTCGACACACTCTATGAAATCGCGCTGGCATGAGGCAGTGTGTTCCCTTATCACCTACAGCCGCCCGATAAACACCTCCACAAACACACACACACAGCAGCCTGCCATAAACTGAGCTGATAACACACACTTTCATGCATATGTACTCAGACGAGTGGGTCTTTTTTTCATTCGCTCGTGTTGAAAATATCTGCTTGTTGTGTCCAAGTGCCGAAACATCATAATAATTGAATATGAAGCATCTTCTGCCATTCACTCTGATGTTTTTGTTTTTTTCCTCTTTGTCTCAATGCAGAATCTGGCCAATCAGACAATTCCAGTCAACAAGGAGACTCGGACATCAAACCCCCACCAAACGGTGAGAAAACAACAGGCGAACTGATTTATACATTATTATACTGGCCAAAAGGCGTTTGAAAGAAGCGTTCTACTCTTATGGATAAACCACATGTGAAATATGTTCGCAAACTGTTCCCAAATCACACATCTCGCCTGTTTTCACTTGCTATTTTATATATATCACCAGGGCTTTACATTAACACCCGCCAACCGGTAAGACGGTAAGATAGACACTCCCCTAGCCACTTTGGCTGGTTGAAAATAATTTTCCCAGATAATAATTTTAAAAGCAGTGTTCGACAATAAGGATGGTCCAATATGGATGCACAGGCGATCGAGAAGCAACACTACTGACAAAAATAATTGCGTTCGCAACTTCGCGCGAGCAAAGCAGGTGAATACCGAATGAGAGGATAATCACTCGCGCTAACAGCTGAGGTGACGCGCGCGGCTGTTTATAACGCGTGCGCGCTCCCGTTTCCTTTTGTGAAGCAACTGTGTCTAGAAACGCAACTGATGTGATCGGTTCTCTTTCAAATAGACTGAACAAAAAGGGAGGAACGTGCACATACAGTCTTGCTGCTTTCAAGAGTTCCAGAGTTGACTTATTGTAAGCAGCGCCAGTTGCTTTCGGTTTAACCATTTTTTGAAAAGATAATTTATGGGTCTATCATTAACCATGCGTGTGTGATCATCCTTTCATTATGACACAGTATGTTATTACCTGCTTTCTTTTGCATTAATATGGTTTAATTATAATTTTTTTTTTACAATAACATTGCTTTAATGGGAGATTACTCCCCAATTGATGTGTAGTTTAACTGGTGATCTGGGACCTTTAGCCAGAACACATGACTGTGCATATCTTTTGTTAAATAAAAAGTATAGTATTCAGCTGTACTTTGCTTGTTTTGACACATTTAAAATTTGTGACTAAGAAATAATTAACTGTTTATTTATGGTTTGGTGCGAGATAAATTGCGTAAATCCTTCCATTTTGGGCACTGAAAATTATGAAAACTAATTGTAATATATGAAACTCTGACCCATTTGCTCATGATTATTGAGCAAGCTCATACACGACACACAAAAAGGGAAATGAATGAGGAGGCATGTAGAGATAACTCTAACTAAATCAAAATCAAATAACTTTAGCATGTCAAAGTCATATTTATGTGTATAAAATATATTTTCCCAACAATAAAATTGTGGCTAGTGAAAATGGCGAGTGGCTAGTAACGTTAGAAAACTACTAGCTACATTTGCTACTAACTACATTTGCGCTGAATCACAGTTCTGGCTTTCTTTTTCAAAGCATCTACTAATTATTTTATTTTCCAGATCAGAGGTGAACTATCCAGCAGATATCCTGCTTTGAGTAGTATGGCAATAAATGTCATGTAAAATGGTATTCAAACTCACATTGGGAGCATTTAACACTGAATAAAGCACATAATTAGTACCTGAGGTGATCATTGTCATAGTAGTTTATGCTGTTGCTCTGTTGCCATGTCACGGAAATAAAAAACATTTCTAAAATAGTAATTTGATGCATTTCCTTCTCAGATGTTTAGGACGAAATTGCTTTTAACAGAAAATACACAGAGCATTTAATCACGTACTGTGGCAATGTGTTGTGTGTATTTAGGACCTGCTGTTGGAATAAAGCAATCTGGCTGAATTGTGTCTAAAATTTAAATGACTCATCGTAATTGAATAGCTCAGTCATAAACGCTTCATGATATTCTGATGTTTGCTAAATGTGGTCTGGCTGAATGAGCTCTGATCGCAGGTGAATGTGTTTTTCTTTCTACAGGACATCTGAGCTTTCAGGACTGCTTCGTGACTTCGGGGGTGTGGAACGTAGCTGAGCTCGTACGAGTTTCTCAGAGTAAGTCTTGACCCACTGGAGAGTCAGTAATAAGTTGTTTTTTAATCTATTTCCTGAACGGATCATTTGAATACAGAGTTGGTTGAAACGCATTCCACAATAAACACGTTACTGTATTCTAATTATATTTTTGGGGAACGCAGTAATGTAACAAATTACATTTTAAATTTGTGTAGTTTGATACTAAAGTCAATGTAATTGCATTACTTACGTTACAAATATAGTTTTTAGAAGAAAAAAATACTTCTTTTAAATCACGTTTACTGCTGCAACACCAGCTGAAATAGCTGCTGATGAGAATGGTTGCTTCTTTAAGCAGAAATATACAGTAGACATTACGTGTGGTTTATTCATAAACTAATTTCGAGAGGATTACGTGCTTATAATCAACACGGCTGGCTCCTTGTTAGCTCCGTAATCAGCCCTATTAGATGATTACGGAAGCATTATAAATAACCTGAGTTTTTCACTCCAGTTATCTTCGTCTTGAAGCTCCCCCCCTTTCCACCCCTACATCCTCCCACTTTTTCTGATCGGGCGACACGGTGGCCCAGTGGATAGCACTGTTGCCTCACAGCAAGAACACCACCAGTCCAACCCATCCGGCCAGTTGGTGTTTCTGTGTTGAGTTTGCATGTTCTCCCTGTGTTCGCGTGGGTTTTCCCCGGGTTCCCCGGTTTCCTCCCACCGTCCAAAAACATAAACCATAGCCAATCGACTAAAACAAATTATCACCCAATACAACCTGAGTTTACACTTCTCACGGTGACAAGCAGGGGAGTTCTCGAGACCTACCTGACCTCGAATTCCCCTCTCGCCCTTCTAACGGGAGGGAGCCCCGGGCTCGAGGATATTACGAGCTCAGGGCTCTCTCCCGGGACAGCATGCCAAATACGCTTTATTGATTATCAGCTAAGTGTGAACTCTTGAATTTGACTTCATTGAGCGTAAAAACAAAAATATTGCTGTGAAATGTAGTCCATGTTCAGTCTCTAAAGCAGTGGTCCCCAACCACCAATTGGTACCAGGCCACATAAGAAATAATAAATTATTTCTGTAGAAAATATTCCCCCCGCGACTTGGTTTCTTCCATTCACCCCCGCCAACTCACGTGAAATGGACTATGCCAAAATCCACCACGGAGCGGGAAGAACGATAGAATATAGCTCATTGGTGGTGGTTGATAGTTTAAAGTTATAAAACAGGTATTATAGAGTCCAACTCAGCAGAGCATTTAAGGATTGTGCATATATGTGTGCGTGCATTGCTAAGTAAGTAGCCGAAATCATTGCAATATGTATCTATATGGAGTTTCACATAATCATACTCATTAGGGCTGTAACATGCCAATGCATACATTTAATTCGGCTATACGGTTGTATTATTGTTAATATGTTCGTCAGTTGAGATGTTTGGCGCAGATGTTTTGTATTTGATGCATATAAACCTTGATTGAAACATAATCAGACTGCGATAGTGCGATAGTGCAGAGTTGTTCATGATTAACCTGGATGCACGAGCGCAGTAAGTTAGCTGTGTTCACGTGAAGAATCCCCCACCCCCACCCCACCCCTCCGGCCCACACCAGTCCGTTGTTAAATTGACAACCGTTGACTGGTCCGCGGTGAAAAAAAAGTTTGGGACCACTGCTCTAAAGAATGTTCGTCTGCTTTTAACTTGACCAGCAACTTGTTCAAGCACTTAAACAGAAAGAATTCTATAACAATACTTACCGCCAAGGATTACACCGGCGCCCAAAAGCACTGTGGTCCAACTCAGCCTAAACAAGCTAAATTGAATTTTTGTGCAGGATCGGGAGTGAAGGTATCTTCTGAATGTAAAGAGAAGCGAAGCTGCTTATGTGGGCGTTCACATATCGAGTCATTTGCACACGCAAGTTTGTTATTTCCAAAGGAGGCATGCGGCTTGCGCTTACATTCGGAGCGCACTCTCGCATTTTCCAGGCGCCCTCAGTTGAAAACCGTGACAATAACTGACTGATCAGCTTCATGCTCTGTATAGAATATACACATTTCAGTAGACTAATTATCTCAGACAAACACAGAACACCCAAACACTGCAATGCTTTTGTATAGGATGGATGTGAATGATTACAGGTATCCAGATTCTTTCATGTCTTCTTCATTTTCTTTTCGGCTTAGTCCCTTTTTTTTATTGATCCGGGGTCACCACAGAGGAATGAACCGCCAACTTATCCAGCACGTTTTACGCAGTGGATGCCCTTTCAGCTGCAACCCATCTCTGGGAAACATCCATACACACTCATTCATACACATACACATGGCCAATTTAGCCAATTCACCTGTACCGCATGTCTTTGGACTGTGGGGGAAACCGGAGCACCCAAACTCCACACAGAAATGCCAACTGACCCAGCTGAGGCTCGAACCAGCGACCTTCTAGCTGTGAGGCGACAGCACTACCTACTGCGCCACTGCGTCGCCTCATGTCTTCTTTTGTGTTAAAAAAATAATAATTTGCAACAAGTAAATGATGAGAAAATTGTAAGTTTTGTGTGAACTCGTTAGCTCTTTTGAATATGTCAAGCTGATGTGTTAAACCCACTGTAATGTTTTTCATTGAACATTAAATTACTGAAAGAGCTGCAGTTTATTTAGTATTTTTATAGGGGTATTTTTAATGTTTTTAAAGTAACGTCAAAGTCAAGTAATTAGCAATCTGCTTACGTTTTACCTTAAGTAATTAGTAATGTAATCAGATTACAATTTTCTAAAAGTAGTCAGTGTTATCTATTGCTTTTTATAAAGTAACTTACCCAGCACAAGACTGCATAGCCTGCATTCATTAGTAACCCTAACTTGATTTCACCAATAGGACATGTTCCTGGATTAACATCTATGTTGATCCTGGAACAACATTCCAATCAGCCAATCAGAATTAAGGGATATGTTTACCATTTATTTTAAGTTTAGGCTTACGGTTAGGTTTTTGCACTTCTACATGATGGTTATCCAACTATTATTCCCCTCTAATTTTGGGAATAAATTACAGTTATAGTTGGCTTTAGGGGTTTTCCAACAAAAACAATGTTCCAGGATCAACATAGATGCTCATCCAGCGTCGCATCGTACTTGGCAAAATCATGACATGCCATTAGTAACTCTCTCTCTCTCTCTCTCTCTCTCTCTCTCTCTCTCTTATTTGATGACATTCAAAAGTTTCTCTCTCTGTGTCTCCTGCAGCCCCTGTTGCAACAGCGTCAGGTCCCAATTTCTCCCTGGCGGATCTGGAAAGTCCCGGATATTACAACATCAACCAAGTAGCACTAGGCAGACGTTCACTCGCCTCTCCACCATCCACAAGGTGAACACACACCCTGTATATTTCCCCCCTAATTTATGTTTAAAGGGGAGGTTTTTTCAACACATTTCTAAACATAATAGTTTTACTAACTCATTTCTAATAACTGATTTATTTTATCTTTGCCATGACGACAGCACATAATATTTTACTAGATTTTTTTCAAGAAACTAGTATTAAGCTTAGTGAGATTTAAAGTTAGAGTAATTAGGCAAGTGGTTGTATAAAGATAGTTTGTTCTGTAGATAATCGGGAAAAAAATACTGCTTAAGGGGGCTAGTAATATCAAGCTTAAATGTTTTTAAAAAAGTAAAAACTGCTTTTATTCTAGCTGAAATAAAACCAACAAGACTTTCTCTAGAAGAAAAAAATATTATAGGAAGTGCTGTGTGAAAAATGTCTTGCTCTGTTAACCATAACATGGGAAATATTTGAAATATTCACAGGAGGGCAAATAACTTTGAATGATTTTAACTGTACCTGCTCTTGAACTGAGGTGTGATCTGTGCTGCTCTTCTTCTTTGTAGGTCTGAGGTGGAGCTGTACGCCAGTCTTCCTCGCAGGTACACACTCTGTCTACTGGATCACTACTTCTCTCCTACTCTCAGACTGTCTATGATCAAGTTTAGAAGAGTTGTTACACTATTAAACTCAACGTTTAAATGGTTTAAGAGTGCACATTTGATTATCTCCTGTGTATTTTGCATTGAGCAGCTGGAATTATCAAATCATTGAATTGTTTAGGGTCTAATTGTTTTATATGGTTTTATAATTAGTCCTACATTATACATTAAATAGATTGTTTTGTTGTGGGATTATCAGCATTTCAAGTAGCTCAAACAAATAAATTCATATAATAAGTAGCAGCTTTTTTAGAGTTTAATTACATTTTTTTATACTTTTGATATTTTATTTGGAAACATAATTAAATAGGCCAATATTATATTTTAATGATGTGAAAAGAATGATATAGGGACCAATTAACCTGACTATAATATAATATAATATAATATAATATAATATAATTAATATAATATAATGTATTATAATATAATATAATATAATATAATTAATATAATATAATGTATTATAATATAATAGTAATATAATATGATATAATGTATTATAATATAATATTATATAATATAAAATTATATAATATAATATAATTAATATATTATAATAAAATATAATTAATATAATATAATATAATGTATTATAATATAATATAAAATAATATAATATAATAAAATATAATATAATATAAAATAATATAATATGATATAATATAATTAATATAATATGATAAAATATAGTTAATATAATATAATATAAAATAATATAATATAATATAATATAATATAATATAATATAATATAATATAATATAATATAATATAATATAAAATAATATAATATAAAATAATATAATATAATATAATATAATATAATATAATATAATATAATATAATATAAAATAATATAATATAATATAATATAATATAATATAATATAATTTTTTTGTTGTTTCTCTGAGTGTCTGCATGTGTGCATTGCTGATCTCTCTGTGGGTTTCTCTGTGTTTCTGCAGCTCAAATAAGCGTAAGTCTATAGATGACAGTGAGATGGAGAGTCCTGTGGACGATGTTTTCTACAGCCGTTCTCCAGCCGGCACCAGCTCTCAGTCCAGCGGCTGGCCCAACGATGTGGACGCAGGTGAGCCACACACACACACACACACACACACACACACACACACACACACACACACACACACACACACACACACACACAAACACAAACACACACAAACATGACTTTTACACTGAGGTGGTGCTAATGTCAGATTCATGGCTGTAGTGGCTCACGTTTTCAACGACACAAAAGCCAAAATAAACATACTGTTGCAGATGCTCCTGAAAAATGTAAATGTACTAAATTCTGTTTTATTTAAGACCATAAAATGTATCAACTATTATTTAAGAGGCAGAAAAACATGCACATAAAAGTTAAAAAGGCCAACAACATAAAAATAATTTTGTTAGGGCGGCACGGTGGCTCAGTCCAAACACATGCACTATAGGTGATTTAAATGAAGTAAATTGGGCGTAGTGTATGAGTGTGTAAATGAGTGTGTATGGGTGTTTCCCAGTACTGGGTTGCAGCTGGAAGGGCATCCACTGTGTAAAACAAATACCGGAATTGTTGGCAGTTTATTCCGCTAATAAAGGGACTAAGCTGAAGGAAAATTAATCCAAATGACTTTTTTTCTTGAGTGGAAATGTGAGGGACGAGGACAAACTGGGCTCCAGCACCAAATCTGTGGAGAAAGCGTCAAACACTCCATCTTCATGAGCTCAACACAAAGTTTTCTCCTTCTTTTTAATGTTAACACTTCTCTTCTTCAGTTGCAGTGCAGCACCATTTGACGAATGTTCAAGAGAGGAAGATAAAGCATGAGAATGACGGCGTGCAGTTTCCTTACCATGGTTAGAAGACACAACACACACACACATGCACACGGGCAGAGGAAGCAGATAGGCTAGAGTTAGATTAGGGGTGAAGTATGATGCTTGGTTAGTTTGTTATTGAGTTACTGTTTGATTCCATCCATGTATTTTAGATGTGTATTCTGGGAGTTTGCATTAAACACTGAATATGAAAAATTGAAATTGAAACGTACACGCTGGAAACATTTGTTGAATGAGGAGCCATATTTACAGGGCAAACTCTAACTCAAAATAGAAAAGCATTGCACATTATGCATTTTGGCTGTTCATTTACAAAATGTCTTGGTGGCCAATGTTTGAAACTGGTTTTAAGATTCAAGTGTTTTGTTTACATCTTTATGTAAACTATAGAAATGCAGTTTCGTGAAAATATACAGTTGAAGTCAGAATTTTTAGCCCCCCTGAATTATTAGACCTCTTATTTATTTTTCCCCAATTTCTTTTTAATGGAGAGATTCTTCTCAACACATTTCTAAGCATAATAGTTTTAATAACTCATTTTGAATAATGGATTTATTTTATCTTTACCATGGTGACAGTAAATAATATTTGACTAGATATATTTTAAGACACTTCTATACAGCTTAAAGTGACATTTAAAGGCTTAACTAGGTTAATTAGGTTAACTAGGCAGGTTAGGGTAATTAGGCAAGTTTTTGTATAATGATGGTTTGTTCTGTAGACTATCAAGAAAAAAATAGCTTAAAGAGACTAATAATATTGACCTTAAAATGGTGTTTAAAAAATTAAAAACTGCTTTTATTCTAGCCGAAATAAAACAAATAAGACTTTATCCAGAAGAAAAAATATTATCAGACATACTGTGAAAATTTCCTTGCTCTGTTAAACATTATTTGGAAAATATTTAAAAAAGAAGAAAAAAATTCAAAGGGGGCTAATATTTCTGACTTCAACTGTATATATGACGTGTAGTGGTTTTCTTGGTTTTTCTCTTACTAAATCAAACTCAATCTGGAGGTTATGAATATCAGAAGAATATACTTTATTGTTGACAACAAAGGAGAACTTTCAGGAGACCCCCAGTAGCATCTCTGTCTGAAAAATTCTGTCTCACTGATGTTCTGGCCTGCTTATATACTTCTTTTGCAACTATTTTTCCCTTTGATCTACATATGTCACACAAATTCCACCTAGGTTAACCCCTGACCCCAAATTCCACCTAGGTTAACCCCTGACCTCAATTTCCACCTTGGTTAACCCCTGACCCAAACCTGGTAACTATATAACTTATCCATTTCTTGTGATATGGTAATTCTTCTAATGGTCTGCAAGTCTAGAAGCAGATTATACACATACAGTTTGAATATATAGATTAACTTCACACTTTAAAGAATATAAAATCCACTTCAGACGCATGTGTTAGGTGTTACTTTACAAAACGCTGTTGACTGGCCTGATATGCATAAATGAGGGCACACACAGTGCAATTTGTTGTCGTTGCAAGAGCTTGTGTGCAATTGTTTTGCCATTGGGAGAAATCACATAGAAATTGCTGATGCTTATATGAACGTGCCTCGTACCATGTGAGAGAAAAACCAAGCGGCTTATGATTTCTCTATATAGTGTATTCAGTCATTCATTTTCCTTCCGCTTAGTTTCTTTATTCATCAGGGGTCACCACAGCGGAATCAACCGCCAACTTATCTAGTATGTTTTACACAGCGGATGCTCTTCCAGATGCAACCCAGTACTGGTAAACACTCATACACACTCACATTCACACTCATCCACTATTTCCAATTGAGTTCATCCAATTCGCCCATAGCACATGTCTTTGGACTGTGGGGAAAACCGGAGCACATGAAGGAAACCCACACCAACACAGGGAGAACATGCAAACTCCACACAGAAATGCCTACTGGCCCAGCCGGGACTCAAACCAGTGACCTTCTTGCTGTAAACAGCCAACCTTGTTGCTGGTAGCGGACAGTGCTAACCACTGTGATACACTTGTATAGATTTTAAACAATTTTGGGAGTTGTCGGTGGTTGAAAGAGCCGATCTGCCATCTGAAGTTGAGGTCATCAGAGAGGATAGTTTACCACCGACTAGTCTTTATAAGACTCTCCCAGCAGACACACAGCATCATAAGACTTTAATATTAGGTTAGATTTGGGTCGGCAGCTGTCCAATAACGACATCAAATAAAGTTGATATTTGGTTTATTTAAGGTTGTGTTAGAAAGTGACCAAAATCCAACGCTGAGCCAACATCCTAAACCAACGTCATATTGATGTCAAATACTGACATTTATTCGTCAGGTATAACATCTAATAGACGTCATAGTGGTAACGTCGACACAACGTCAAGCTGCAACATCAGTAGACGTTGATATTTGGCTGTTTTTTAGGTTGCGTTGGAAAGTAACCAAAATACAACATTTGTCCAACATTGGATATTGGGTTCAGACGTCAACCTGATTGTTATTTCGAAACAAAATGCAACGTCCACACAACATTAGGGTATAACCAGGGGCGGATTTAGTGATTTTGGGGGGCTAAACAATTCCAGCCAGGGAGCCCAAAAGATCTAAAATGCACATTTTGTACTTACATTTTTTCATTATTATTTTGCTGTTTTGTTCTTATATCATTCGATATCATTTTCTGAATTTTATCTTAATGCAAAAAAATAACACGTAAAGCACCTTGTAAAACTTTTTGTTTTCTTAAGAGGAATTCACAACTAAACATACTAAATGAAGTTTATTTATAAACTAATTTCGAGAGGATCACGTGCTTATGATTGTTCCCAGCTGTTCACACATCAGCTTATGGTTGATTCTCCAATCAGATGATTCCTAACTTACTATAAATGACCAGAGTTTTCCCCGGGTTCTCCGGTTTCCTCGAACAGCCCAAAAAAACACGCAATCTAAGTAAATTGAAGACCCAAAATTGATACCATAGCGAGTACACCTCTCCTTAGTCATCTATATCCGTCACTTAGCTAGAAATAAGCCGGGGGAAGTTAATCGAGATCTACCTGAGCTCAAACTCCCCTCTCGCCCTGCAAACGGGTGGTAGCCCAGGGCTCGAGGATCTCATAAGCTCGGGGACAGCTCTCCCGGGACAGCATGCCAAACAAGCTTTATTATCAATCATCATCTAAGTGTAAACTCTTGAAACTCTTTTAAATTAAATCTTCACTGATTTGACTGCTGGACTGGTCCATGATTGAAGGTAGGGGACACAGATGCCCAGATGTAATAATTGCGTTGAAATTACCATTTATAATGAAAGTTTATTTTAAAGTTAAAATACCTCGCCGTACAAAATATGATAGAAAACAATGTTATAAATAATTTATGGTATCTTTTATACTTATTTAGGGGCCCTCGGACTTCCTGGGGCCCTAAGCGGCCACTTATCTCGCTTATTCGTTAAGTCCGCCCCTGGGTACAACGTCAATCTGACCTCATGTTGACGTCCTGTGTCTGCTAGGCTGGTTCTGAAAAAGTACATGCATTTGTAGCAAACATTCACAGCTCGTGTCATAATTAAACTATTATGAGCAAGAGAGAGCAATACAGTGAAAGAGCGAGGGGCCCTTTCCTCTGTTTATGTTTTCACTTAATTTCATATGATTTCTTCTGAATTCGGCAGGTATCATAAAATCGTATATTACTGTCCAAGTGGTTTGCACATAAACTCCTCGTATTTAAAAGGAAAAGATTTCAGTTTTCAGTGGATCAATGCACTGTAAATATAACAGATCATGTGATTAAATAACTAGAATAACCAGCAGACCAATCGCAATGCGCACCATCTTGACTATTGTTTTAATTATTATGACACGTCTGACGAACATAAGTCAGTCATCAAAATGCTGTGGTTATATATCCAACAGAAATTATTTTTTTATTTAATTATTTATTTATTTGTTATTGATTGTATTTGATTTAGTTGTCTTGACACACCAAACTGGTGCTTTTCGTGTAAGTTTAAAGTGACAGTTTACCCAAAAATGAAAATGTACCCATTATTTACTTGCACTAAAGGGGTTCCAAAGTTTCTTTATCCTGGTGGAACCAAAAGAAGATATTTTGAAGAATGCTGAAACCAGAGAGTAGGAAAAACACGTATTAAGGACGTCAATGGTTACTAATTACCAATATCCTACAAAAATATCTAATTTTGTGTTCAACAGAAGAAAGAAACTCTAGAACCAGTGAGCAAATTTCATTAATTCATTATTTTTCCTTCAGCTTAGTCCCTTATTTATCAGGGCTCGCCACAGCAGAATGAACCGCCAACTATTTAAGCATATGTTTTACTTTGTGGATTTCCCATTACTGGAAAACACCCATACTCACTCGCATTCACACACACACACTTATACAGCCAATTTAGTTTATTTCACCTATAGCGCATGTGCTTGGACTGTGGGAAAAACCAGAGCACCCGAAGGTGCACCCACAGCATCACAGGGAGAACAAGCAAACTCCACATAGATACACCAACTGGCTCAGCTGGGACTCGAAACAGCAATCTTCTAACCATTGAGCTACAGTCAACTTTCAACAATCCCTATATATTCACAGCTTTGGTTAGAGCACATATTGTTATTATACCTTTTTAATATAATGCTCAATGTTGTTTAGTCTAGTACAAGAGATTTATTGTCGATGAAGGGTTTTTTGGTCTTACTAAGGCAGACACCGAACTGAAGGATCACTGTGGTCACTGTCAGCTTTCTGGAGGAGCCCAGATGGGACGGTCAAAGTCAGAGAAACACACACAGGCACGCAAACACTGAGAAAACGCATAACACAGGTGCACCTTCTGTCCACACACACACACACACACACACTCTCTCTCTCTCTCAGTCTGTGTTCTGGTCCAGATGGCTCTTCCGTGTATCTACAGTAGTGAAGACATCTGCTCCACGTTTGTGTGTGAATGTCATAATCAGACAGAAATGCTTTTCACTACAAACCTTTCTGCATTAATAATACC